CTGCTATGATATAGGCTGCCCTATCACTTTGGCCCTAAGATCCAGTAGGTGCAATGATTTTTGAAATGTGTGTGTAATACAACATCCCTGTCAACAGAGGTATTAAAGCACAGGTCCCTAATAGTTTTTGAGGACAGATATGCTTCTCCCACCAATAGCTATTCTCCATTTAAAAATCTGCCCCTGACTTGCTATTGGACTTTGGCTAAGACTGAGTACCAAGACATGGGACTCCAAATGACTATGTGCCCCAAACTACCCAATGTGAACTAGGTATTATCTTAGTCATATCATCATATCATATCCAAAAACAAGATTGCACAGTAGCATTTCATTGCTAAATGAAACTGGGACCAAGCAGGTTTAGGAAGGCCAAGTATACTGCATAAGTAAGTAGCTCAGATGTTCCTGATACCTGCTCCTACTGCTTCACAATCTTTCAACCCACTCATATGGCCTTATGGGGAATTCTCAATGATCAATTAATGGAGGATGAAAACATGTAGACCTGGTATGTAAATGGATCACATGGGTATAGGTATTAGCTATGACCATTATAGCCCAGCTTAAGGTGATTGGCCCAGAAATACTGTGGTGAAAGGATATTACTCTAGCTGTGGAACTTCAGATAGTATATTTATTTGATTGTACACTTTGCATGGAGAGAGATAGCTCAGGCAATGACACATAGCATGACCATATGATCAGGGAGTTAGAAGAAAAAGCCTGGAAGACTGGTGACAAGAAGTTGTGAGGGAGTTATATGGATGCATCTCTCACAAGGAGTACAAAGTGTGACAATACAGTATCCCATGTAATTTTCCTCTATGTAAATTTCACCCACCTGGAGCAAGCTCTTAGTAATCTGGACCAGGTGAGGTACCTTATGGATGTCAGACAGATTCTTTACCCTGCTGCTTGCTCAATGGGTCCATGTACAAAGTGACTATGGGAACAGACATGGTAACTGTGTATCAACAACATGTACTCCTTCCTCTCTATGCTGATTTAACTACCATATTACTGAGGTCCCAATTTTCTAGTGCTGAGACCCTGAACTGGCACTATTCCCCAGAGGGATCAACCAAGTAACTGATAGCAAGTAGGTTATATTAGACTGTGGCTAACAAGAAATAGACAGTAATCTATCCTCATTAAAATAGATACATATTTAGGATATGGCTTTGTCTTCCCTGCCTTCAGTGCTTTTGCCAACTCCACCATGCATGGTTTTAACAGAACGCCTTACCAATTATCATGATATTTCATGCAATATCACTTTCACTTGGCAGCTTATTTTGTAGCAAAGAAGTACAGCAATGGGCTCAAACTCACAAAATTCACTGGTCATACCCATGCTCCATCATCCAGAATCCAGCTTGCTAAATGGAGTGGTGAAATTAGGTGATTAATGTATGGTTGCCAACTTGGGAAATTGCAGGTGTATCCTACGAGCTCTGGTAGCATAGTCCCTAAGGCATTAGACGACTAACCAGAAGGCTGGTGGTTCAAACCAACCACCCACTCTCCAGAAGGAAGATTGGGCAATCTACTTCTGTAGTGATACCACCTCGGAAACCCAAGGAGGGGTCGCTGTGAATCAGAACTGACTTGACGGCAGTGAGTTTTTGGTTTATAGAATATGGTATGTGCTTAAAGCCATCTCCTCCATAGCCAGAAAGCACAGTGAGAACAAAGAGGTGAAAGTGGGAGTGGATGCTGTAATATATTAAATAACCTATTTAAAGAATTTAGTGCCTAAGCCATTTGACTGCTAACCAGAAAGCTAATGGTTTAAACCCACAAGCCACTCCTTGGAAGGAAGATTGCTCAATCTACTTCCATAGAGATACTGCCTCAGAAACCCAAGGAGGGGTCGCTATGAGTAGAAATGACTTGATGGCAGTGAGGTTTTTTTTTTTTTCCCTGTAACTTTAGAACTGGTGGTTTTAGAGACCTCACTTGCAAAGAAAGAATGTTTCCACTAAGGATCAGAGCCCTGGTACTATAGTATTGGAAATGAGACTATCTCCTGGCTATTTTGGGCTCCTCCATCTGCTGAACTAACCGAAAGAGAAGTGGGTGCTGGTGATGGTATTTGATGTAGATTACCAAGATGATTTGGGGTTGCTGCTATACAATGATGGCAAGAACAGTGTTTAGAACACAGAGGATTCACTGGGAACATCTTAAAGCAAACTTGTCTGATAATCTGGGTCACTGAATAACCACAGTGACCCCTGAAAGATAAGACCACCTAAGACTTAGAACTCTCAGGGACTGAATTTGGATTACTCATCAGTTAAAGAACCTTGTCCAGCTCAGATTCTGAAAGCGAATACGAATAAGGGGAAGATGGAATTGGCAGTGGAAGAAGAAAGCTATAATGATCAACTTCGACTTCTTTTTTTTTTTTGTTTTAACCAACTAGAGAACATGGACTTTAGCAGTTATGCTTTACGTTAACTGTTTCTTTTTTCCCCCACTGGTGGTTGCTAATATTTTAGATTCCAGGTGACAAAGTAGATGGTGCCAGATATTCTGTCTCTGCTTGTCCAGATCCATTTTTCTCTTTGCTGCTAAGACGGTGACCTTTATGGATTTCATTAAAGACTCTTTTTCTGATTTCTGGTTCGTTTCAGCCATTGGGAGACCTAGCAGGATACTGGAACACGGAAAGAGTGAAATCAGATACGCTAGGTTGATAGTGGCTACACTGCTCTATATCGGAAGTACAGAATTCCTGTATGGCAGCCTCTCCTACAGCCATAGCTCTCTTTCTCAGAGTTCCAGGGACTGCTCTCTGCCTTTCCTCATCAAGCTGAGGACAGGTAAGGATCCACAGTGCTGCTATTTACGAATAGCCTCACTATCCCCTTTTGGTTTCCCTCAATACTGTCACACCCTTGTAAATAGTCATTCCATTAAGCTCTCTTTAATTACCCAGTTTGAGTATGCCATCTGTTCGTATCTCTGCAGAAATCATGACTTTGTATGCTGCTGTTTTTACGTGCTGTCGAGTCAAACCCTACTCACAGCGACCCCTCCCTGGGTTGCCGAGGCAGTATCACTACGGAAATAGATTGCCCAACCTTCCTCCTGAGGCACAGTGGCCACTTTAAAATTTTCACAGTTGTTGTTGTTATGTGCCGTCGAGTCGGCCCCAACTCATAGCGACCCCTCCTTGGGTTTCCGAGGCAGTATCACTACGGAAGTAGGATTGCCCAACCTTCCTTCCGAGGAGTGGCTGGTGGGTTTGAACCGCCAGCCTTCTGGTTAGCAGTCAAGTGCTTTAGCCACTATGCTACCAGAGCTCCTAATTTTCATAGTATAAATTTAAAATAAAATACAAAATGTATTTACAAGATGTAAATAAGTGAAATAATTTGAGAAAGGAAGGAAAGTAAAATGTTAAACATATTTTGTTTAATCAATAATACATATTATTGTTGTTGGTATTAATTTCATTTTTTTTGTAATTGTCCCAAATTTAAGAGTTGTGGTTTAAAATAGTTTTACATATTTCACGTTATGATAAAAGACTAAGTATAGCCTTGAGGGTTAACAAGAAAAAGTAACGAAATATAATGTAAGCATCACCTCGCCATCCATAAGACTTTCTAATACAACTTGTCAATGTAGATGAAAATATCACTTCCATTATAGCTGCATATTAAAATTAAATTTTAAAATGTCATTATGGATGGGAGGAGCATATAAAACTGGCTTGAGAGTGTTCTACATTAATTTTTCGCCTTTAACTTCTTGGCTATGGCACTTCATGCTGAAAAAGTCAAATGGGATTCATTCAGATTTCCTCATCATTGTTTCTTTTGTGCACTATATTCCAGTGCTTTTTTTTTTTTAAAATCAATCTTATTCTAGATATTTTAATGATGATGTATAAAGCAGAAGAAAGCTTTAGATCACATTGAATGACTACAGCTCAGAAGCTAAAGAAACAAAAAAAGAGTTAAAATGGAGTATATAGCTTCTCATAAGCATTGCATTTTCAAGTTTATAAACAGGAATTTTAAATTTCTATAAGATCCTAGCCTGGACTCTTCGTGAATCAAAAATATAGCTTTCATTTCCTATGTGGTAACTATAGCATGGAACTATGATATTTCACTTTATATTCAATTATCATGGTGTTATGGATTGAATTGCATGCCCCAAAACTATGTGGTGTAAACCCTAACCTCTATGCCTGTAGTTATAATTATGATTTGGGAATGGGTTGCCTTTGTTATGCAAATGAGGCAGGATTAGCATTGGGTGTGTCTTGAGTCAATCTCCTTAGAAACATAAAAGAGACTGATTAAACAAACAAGTGAGTGACAGAGATGGAAAAAGAGAGATGCCAAGCCACATGAAGACTGCTCAGGAGCAGACTCTCAGAAGAGACAAGGACCTTCCTCTAGAGCTGGCAGAGAAAGAGTGCCTTCTCCTAGAGCTGGCTACCTGAATTTGGACTTCTACCTCCTAAACTGTGAGAAAATAAATGTGTTTGTTAAAGCGCTCCACTTGTATTTCTGTCATAACACTAGATAACTATGACTCCTGCAGTAACCAAAATTATTGCATTAATAATTACGATAAAACAGAAAGAAAATTCTAGAAATTTTATGTATCAGTTGTTTTTCTTATCCCAATGATTCTAAATAAGAGACTTTAATACTGCTTTGTGTCAAGTCAATAGGACTGAAAATTAAAGTCCATATGTGTCTTGTAAGACTTCCAAAAAAACCAAACTCACTGCTGTCGAGTTGTTTTGACTCATAGTGACCCCTCCTTGGGTTTCCAAGGTGGTATCTCTATGGAAGTAGATTGGTCAATCTTCCTTTCAAGGAGTGGCTGCTGGGTTTGAACTTTCATCCTTCTGATTAGCAGTCAAATGCCTTAGGCAATGTGCCACCAGAGCTCCCTTGTAGGACTTACCAGTTTTTTAATGTAATGAGCTAGTTTTTAGTTTTCTTCTCAGCATTTGTAAAGCTTACCAGAGTGGGTCCTGAGGTGTCCTGTGAGGGCGTCCCTTCTTCTACAAGCATAGCTGCAGAAAGGACATTTGAACGGCTTCTCTCCAGAGTGTAACTTTATGTGCCTGAGAAGGTTGCCCTTCTGAGTAAAAGAAGCTCCACACTGGTTACAGTGGAAGGGACGTTCACCTGTGGGAAAGGAAAGAAGAGAGAAAGATGAAGTTGACCACATACGTACAAGTGTCTAATTTGTCGTACAAAGTTAATGAGAACAAGTTCTCTGTGCTAGTAGAATGTAGCAGATTGCAGTTCCCTCATATGTCTTCAAAGTGTCTATCTTCCTAGAATTTAACTTGCTAATACCAAAGTCTCAAGCTCTAAAAGTCAAAGAGGCTGTTTCCCATCTTCATGTGAATTTGACAGGATTCCTGTCACCGATTCAACAGAGTAACAATCAATCATTTACCCTTGGTTATACAACTAGATGTCATTACTTTACTGACTACTGATTGCTTTACATTCATGATTTCAATTCTCCCAGTAATATTAGTACCTCAGTTCTATGAATTTCAATTTACAAATGAAAAAATTAAAGTTCAAAGTACCAATTTATGTGACTAAATTCACAGACCTAATAAGTATTCAAACTGAGTATTGACATCCAGTCAGTTTGACTACAAATCTTGATCTCTTCATTTTACCAGGTTACCTTGAAAAATTATAGAAATTTTGAGCTGGAAGGGACCTTAAAGATCTTTAACTCCAACTCCATAGTTTTGTTGATAAGGAAAGGGGGCCAAAGAGGTTAAGTGAACAAACAAGATCACAAAGCTTATTACCATAAGATTCCAAATATAGCCCAGATCTCTTGATTCTCCTGGTCACTAAGACTGAAACTTTCAGCAAATTTTCCTGATATATCAGGGAAAATTCGAAGAAAATTATTCAACCAGACATTTTGTATATACTCTTTTCCTTATGAAAAATATTTGTTTGATAGGAATCTTTTCTCCTTTTTCTCTATTACTAATATTGCTACAAAATTATTCAAGCCTACATTATCGTATTAGTGTGTTGTCAACAACTGGCTGTCATCAGTATCATCAGACATAAAGGCATATAAGTAATGAAGGAATAAAATTGGTAAGTAGGGTCAAATGGATAACAATAAACCATGGAGATAATGCTACTATTTTAAGATTGTCTATCTTTAAAAATAAACATAAAATAAGTTATACATTAACATAAATAAATATTATAAATGCAAGATATTAAAGCTCATAGTTTTGAATAAAATTAAAAACACTTCCCTTTTGGTTAAACTTGACCATTCCTCTAACTGAAGGCAGAGTGATTATAATTTTAACAGGTGTCAAAAATTTTATTCTGAATGGGTCATATTTCACATAACTTTAACTGAAACAGACATAGTAACATGAACACTGAAACCCCAATATATTTTTTCCATTTGATATAAATGCAAAGTTTAATGATTTTTTTTTATTAATGAAAGCCAGGTGGCATAAAGAAGATAAAGTGTCATCATTTTTTGGCAGCAAGCCACAGCAAATTCTACCATCCAGCTTTGTTACAAAACCGAGAGATGGGAAAACAGATAGACTGAGTATATCTCAAATTTTGTAGGACTTTCTAATTTTTTAACTTAGTGAGGTTCCTCCCAAAATTGTATAATTTGTATATATGTGTGAGGCTTGTGGGGCTTTTTCTTAAGAAAGCTGGTGATCTTACAAGCTAAGTCTATACACAAAGTCCTATACTGATAGATTAGATTGAAAATAAATAAATAAATAAATAAATGGTCTCCCATGTTAAAGTTATTTTACATTTTATTTTATTTAACTTTTTGCTTCATTTGGTAAAACTGATTTTTTTTTTTTAGCAGTAAATGCATCTTAAAAGAGAAAACCTTAATATCCTGCATATGAAGTCTCACAAAATAATCAAAGTTTATTAAAATATGTAAATTTAATATATCTTTTTCATCATAAATACATATGGACACATATATAATTAACATATAAAATCTGATTTTTTAAAAAATAAAGTAATATCTACAACTTTCAAAAATCAGAATTATTGACTCCTTACCCTACCACGGTATTAGCAATGAAGAGAAGAAAACATAATAAGACTAACCTTTAAAAATATGTTTAAATTCAAAAGATGGACAATCACCAAAAACCATCAATTGATTTTTTTACTAGACTAAGGATGGGGTAGGAGTCCCTGGGTGGTGTGAATGGTTAAGATCCTGACTACTCCCCAGAGGTGCCTCAGAAGACAGGCTTGGCTACCTGCTTCTGAAAAGTCACAGCCCTGAAAACTTGATGGCGTTTTATGTTCCACACATGGGCTGCCAGAGCAGGAAATGACACTGTGGCAACCAACAACAACAATGCTGTGGGGACTGAGTTCTTACATTTGTAAAATGCTCCAGATATCTTCACTTTTAAAAAAATAAAAGAAATGTTTCTGAATTTAACTGATTATCCTCAAAGAGGGTGGGAGAAATGAGAAGAGGTCTAGGTGTGTGTGGAAATGTTTCCAGGCTGCTGAATGGCTGAGTCTTACTGGGGAAGCATTTGCTAACTGCATTCTCATGCCCGTGGGAAGTAAAGAAAGAGGCATGATGAAAGCACCAGTCACAGCCCTGCTCCGATAAGGGAAAGGGGACACTGAAAACAACAATGCACTTTGATTTCAAATTGATTTAAGAATAAGACTTGATCGATGCTTTTACTTTTGGATACAAATTCAACGACTGGCCTCATTTTGGGTTGAAATCTGCATAACTACCCTTAATATCTTCATTATATAAAAGTAATAATTAACATTTCAAAAATTATCTATTGAATTTGGTGTTCCCAACTAAATTTAGGTGGAATTACATGAAACCCTCAATAGCACTATTGCTGGAGACCAGGATGAAAAAAGAGGTGGTTAACTTCTGAGGCTTTTTTTGTAAGTATATATAGCTATATTTTAAGAACTAACCAATCCCAATCCAGGAATAATATCCATATCTGCTTAAGAACAAATAAAAAACAAATGCATTCATGAATTTTTTTTTTTTTTTTTTTAATTTAAACATCTCTGCAAAATGTCAGCCATCCTTTAAGCAATGGTTACTTCCTGGCCTGCATTCAAGAGATATATGTAAGGTTATCTGCTTATTAAGTTCAAGGTTCAGTTAACTGCCTAATCATCTGTTTAACTTCAAATAACACATCTCAATTATTTCTTTTTAATCATTTTTTTTTTCCTTTAAACTGAAAGGATTGAATCAACTGGTTCTTTTGGACTCTCTTTAGGCTTTGTCTGAAAAAACTATTAATCATGTTCTTCCTATGTAAATCTAAACAAATTTCAAGGAAATGTCACACATTTTTTAAATACATTATTGACATTACAGAGTAATCCAACTTAATCCTCAAGTAAGTTATTGTTTCTATGCTAGTTTTACTCTCCTGTGGATGGTTACCAACCTTGAATCCAGGAGAATAAACAAGATATGGCTACCTACCAACCTTTATTACTATTCTCAATATACTTGTTCTTCTTCTTCTTTCTAACCCCATTTTCTGATGTACTCAAGGACCATCTATTATATTTACTATGGAGTATATTAAATTTCTGTGCATTACATAGTTCCACAGGAGAGTCCCTGGATGATGCAAATGTGCCTGGGCTGCCCAACAGAAGGCTGGCACTTCCTGTCTGCCCGAGGTGCCTGGGAACAAGGGTCTGGTGACCTGCTTCCAAAAAGTGAGCCCACGGAAAGCCCGGGAGCACAGTTCTGCTCTAACACACGTGGGGCTTTGACAAATTGCAAGAAACTTGATGACTGCTGGTTATGTACTTTCATAAACACACATTTTTAGATCTGTGCTTAAATATTCAATTAAAATGCAAATACACATGCGTCAATTTTCTTTGCTGAATCAAAGACAGGATGTGCCTGTGTTGGATTGAGCAACCACCTACAAATATGAAAAATTCCAAAAAGGTGTAGAAAAAGCCTTGGAGTAAGAAAATGGCTCCACAAAGCTGCAATTATAAAACATGATACGAAAAATGTAGTTACGATGATGGGAGAATTCAAGCCTAAAGATGGGGCTATGTATGGATAGTCTATAAAGTTCTCTATGTTTGCGCATGAGTGGGTTTACTCCCCTATTTGTTTTCTTGTCCTAATATTCCCAGTGAAGAGTGCCTGGAGTATCCGAGGAGAATATTACCTGATTACCTACTAAAGTAGCAATACCAAGAAATAACTCCAAATAGGAATAAGACACTGGAATTGGCACTTTAGTAGAGTATGAAAGAGAAAGAAGTGAATTAGATCTGATACTCCATGATGTTGTGATGAATTGGATAGTTGGATACAATTTTTCACTGTAATTTACATTAGATATTCTATGAGCTAAAACACACACTAAAAAATAAGTTTCCTAAAGGCATTATAATGAGTAAGAGTGTTATTAAAACTATCAATTAAAGTGTCTGTTAAATAGCTATTAAAGTTGGTATAAACTCACTGCCATTGAGTCGACTGACTCATAGCGACCCATTTTGGGTTTGTGAGGCAGTAAATCTTTATGGAAGTAGACTGCCCAGTCTTCCTTCTGCAGGGTGGCTGGTGGGTTTGAACCGCTAACCTTCTGGTTAGCAGTCAAATGCCTTAGGCACTACACCACCAGAGCTCCTTAAAGTTGGTATGGGGGGGCATCAAGTCTATAATGAAGACATTATCTCATGGTATTGAGGAGAAAACATCATGTGATAAACTTCTGACTGCATTTTTTCTCAATCTAGTTTAAAGAAACACAACTAGACCTACTTTCAAATAGTACTAAAACAGAGTTGAAAACATCACCACACATTCAGATATATAAACTGAGTTGTTATAAACACATATTAAAACAGGCCATTAAAAGCACCATTTCCACAATTTCAAAATCATTATTCACTAATAAAAATCCTCCAAATCTGAGGAAAGTGTAATAATTTTTACAATATTCCCATAAATATTTATTATCAATAATGAAACTGTCCATAGTGTTCCAAGACTATTTTAAATGGCTAGTCCATTCTCCTTCTCTTTAGTAGTTAAGTAAAACTCATATTTATAGGACTGGGAGAAATCTTTATAAATATTTAGAAGCCTTTTCTATGTCTATAATAAAATCATTTTCAGAATGAAAATAAACTCTACCACCACAGTATTAAGTATATTGTTAGTAGATAGTGGGTACAAATACTATGTACAAAAAGATAGTAGAGCAGACATTTAATTATAACTATGTTTATAAAGTAATAATCCTCATATGAAATTTACTACAGAAAGACTGAAATATGGATTGATCTAAATTTTCAAGAGAAAGTACTCTGGCTATTTGAATTTTCTTAACTCAGAACATAAAAAGTTTATATATATTAAAAAAAAAAAAAAAAAAAAAAACTTCCAAAAAATATTTTAGTATATGTTTCAGCCTTAATATTAATACTAGATCCAATTAAACTGAGAAGTCATTAGACATTCTGCTCAGTTTTTATTAGGTGATAGAATTTACACATATGAGTGAATGCTACCTTCCTCAGTACAGTCATTCTTAGAGAAAGACCATACCAAAACTTATCAGAACTCTTAGAACTAAAAGAATGAGAATTTTCTATTTAATGATCACACAAGAAAAGCAGACTCATTACTTTATACTTTTTCCCTTTTCTTTTCTTATCAAATATAATACAAACAAGCTTGATCTTTCAATTTGTCTTAGACAACATTTTTAAAAATTAAAGGAAAAAAAATCCCTAGTTAATATAAGTATTTTAAAGCCATGATGTTATTTACAAAAGAAATTCAAAGTAAAACAAAAATCAAAACTGTAATAGACTGTGTGATTGGTGTAAATGTGATAACATTGATTTTAATGTCTAACTTCTTACTGATTTTAATATGTAATTTAAAAATATCAGCCTTAGTTCATAAACATACCTCTTAGCAAAATGTTTGTATACTCATAAACTAAGCTTAGTAAATTTGGACGAATCCAGCCTAGGCATCAGGAAAACTGGCTCTAGGCCCAACAATGTCCTTACCTACCTAAGCTATAATGGACTAATCATTTGACTCTTTGGAGTCTCAGTTTCTTCATGTGTAAAATGAGAGGTTTGGACTAAAAAGACTTCAATGCATCTTTCACCATTCATTGCCAAGCACTTCCTTATTAATTATTTTAATGTAAATATTATATATCAATTCTTATTGTGATTTTTCTCTCATTCAAACAATATTACATCTTAAAACTCTGAGAGTATTATTAATATTTTGCTATATGATACTACTTTGCTGTATAGCTAAACTTATCATTTCCTTTGTATCAATTTGCATATGAACTTGAAGCTTATGTTTGACTCATTATTCTTTCTCTCTTACCAGGATCTCATTTCTGTTGCTTTTTTTTTAAATTTTTAAATTTTAGCAAAAGACTTGAAGAGATTTAAATAAAGTCTTCTCCTCATTTGGTTTCATGAAGGACTTTCCATTACTCAATGGTCTAAAAGTGTATATTAAGTTAATCTTTTTTTTTTTTTTTTCTCCTCCACCTCCTATTGCATGATTAAGGAGCTCTGGTGGCACAGTGGGTAAGGCATTTGGCTGCTAACCAGAAGGTTGTCGGTTCAAACCCACCAGCTGCTCCACAGGAAGATGATGAGGCAATCTACTTCTGTAAAGATTTACACCCTTGGAAACTCAGTGGGGGTCACTGTGAATAGGAACCGAATCAATGGCAGTGGGCCTAGTTTTTTGTTATTCCACGATTACACATTACTACCTATACTACTGCCATGCCATGTCATATTCCACTCCACATTTCTCTTTGCAGGAGTTAGAATTTTAAAAATTACAGGAAGCTGGTAACAACTCTGAACTAGACAAAGTTGCTGCCCACTACAGAGAACTGTGGTAGACAAAGATTGATTGGAAATTGTATTCCAAGGAGTTAACTAGATGAAGGGAAAATGATTCACCCCTATATAAATGCATGAGTACCATTTTATAGTATCAAGTCTTAGCTAGCAAACTATATTACATGCCCATGGGTATGGTAAAATATGTATAGAAATACAAAAAGATTAAGTTACACAATGAAATTCTCCTATACCTTTTGCACCCTTATCATATTATTGCTATATTAAGAACTGTGGAAACTGAATCCCAAACTTCTTTTCTGATATGCTATTCAGATCTGAAGGCTGGAAGTCAAGACCCAGGCTACTCTCTGCTTTTCACCAATCCAACACTAGCAGAATTCTGAAAAGGCAGTTTCACCATTGCCACCCCTGAATGAAAAGGAAAGAGAATAGATGTCAGGTAATATCAACATCAGATGTCACAGGCAGTCATCAGGTTATTCTTTCAGCTGCTTACCAGTATGACTCCTTTTATGTACCATAAGCACATTGGGCCCAATGCAAACCATGCCACAGACGTCACATTTCAGTTTACCATTCGGAAGCCGGATTCCTCCCTCGCCTTGAAGCTCCTGGACTTTCCTGTTGTCAGCCACCTCGCTGCTCTCAATTAGGGGTTCTTCTAGGCTGCTACCCTCATCATGGCCCCTGATATCGTCTTCGCGGCTCAGGGGTTTCCTGTCACACTCTTCATCACTCTGCATTTCTAGCTTTACTGAATTTGCTGTAATTTAAAAATAAGAGAACAAGAAATTATAAAACTGTGTTCTATGTTCTAATCTACATCTATTTTCCATGTAGTGCCCTTCTACTAATATAGGTGGGAATGACATACTCAGTAATTACCAAATGTAATATTAATGCATACCGTGATATGTAACTTTTTAATGAGGCATTGGCATGAAAGTGACGATGTCTCAGGAAAGCTCTAAGTAAAGAGAATGACTCTTTATTTCTGCACAGAGTTATTTCTTTAACTGTTTACTTTCTAAGCAAGTCTGTAAATAACTCTGGTACTCGCTCTTTAGTCTGGCAATAAGGCAACTGAAATGAGTTAGGTTTATGGAAAAGACAAGATTAGATTCTGCTGCACCCACTAAACCATGCCTCCTTGTAACTTAACAATCATTATATATTCTTTATAGTCTCTGTTTCACATCAGATTACTTGTGTAAACCTGCTTTTTGAGCAGAGCAAGAAAACAACTCGGAATCTTAATCCAAAAAATGTTTGAGATACATGAAGGCACACTGTCAAGGCCAATGTCCTAAACTCAGACTGAACACATACATTCAGCTAACAGCTGTAGGACAGGGTATATAGATCTCACATGCCCTTAAGTCATTTTGCTTTTTATTTCCTATGTGAAGAAGCTAGTCTGTAGAACATAGTAGCCTGCAAATCAAAGTACTCCATTTCTAATCTATGCACACCAAGAAGCAGTGAATGACAGGAATGGCATAGCGTGCATGCACACACTTGTGACTGTTAAGAAATTTAATGCCTTCTGTTTGCTGTTTTTGGATCATCCCACAGAAAAGTTGGAATTTTCTTAGCACAGCCCTCATTCTGGATTGCTGACAGAGTCTTTCCACAAAGCAGAAGCAAGCTTTAAATGAATACCAATTTTTTTTTTTTTCTTAACCCAGTTGATCTTGAACATTTCTTAAGAAATCCTATCAAAGTTACTGAGCAACACATAAATTACGTGGTACTGCTTGGCTTGAATAGAGGAAATATTTTCACAAAAAAGGACGTAAGTTCTTTTCTTTGCAATTATTCTCTTAAAGAAACCACACATTCTGTGATTTTTCATTAGTACTTATCACTACCAGGAGGGCTGTCAAAACGGCTCCTCTCCTGCTCCTCCTCTCTCCTGGAGCCCCGCCCATAACTGCAAGAGTGGTGCAATGAGGACACCACTGCATCCAGTAAGGAAGCCTTGGCTCAAGTAGTGGCTTTGACTTTTATTGGCAATATAATCTTGTGCTGATTATTTAACCTCTAAATCTTATGTCATTCACTAGTTAATCGGAGATGAATTGAAACTAGTAAATAAAGTTGGAGCATCACAATGTAGCTATGAAGCATAAGGATGTAATCAGACCATCCAGAATGAATACTAGACATTACACTACAAGCACAGTCACCTGCAGAAAGTTACTTAAACTCTATCTTCTATAAAATGGGAATAAAAATAGTATGATAATGGCACCCACTTCATAGCATTTAATGTGAGCATTGAATGAACAAATGTAGAAAATATGCTTAGAACAGTAGCTGGAACATATTAAACTCTCTGACAGGGAGTGCAACTATTTTCCTCTGGACAATGCCATTCCATAAGGTTTTTGTGATGCTCAACGAACTTGTATGTAAACTACTCTGAGTTTTAAAGAGGTATATGTTCATTTGTTTGTGCTTTTACTACATCGAGTTTTACCCTACTTACAAATTAGTACTGCCAGGGTGGTTCAGGAGCTCTGGTGGCATAGTGCCTAAGGCATTTGACTGCTAACCAGAAGGCTGGAGGTTCAAACCCACCAGCCACTCCTCGGAAGGAAGATGGGGCAATCTACTTCCATAGTGATACTGCCTCGGAAACCCAAGGAGGGGTCGCTATGAGTCGGGTCCGACTCAATGGCACATAACAACAACAACAACAGGGTGGTTCAGAGGTTAGGCACTCAGCTACTAACCAAAAGATTGGAGGTTCAAACCTACTCTAGCCGCTCCACAGGAGAAAGACGAGGCAGTCTGCTTCTATAAAGATTACAGCCTTGGAAAACATGTGGGGCAGTTCTACCCTGACCTACAGGGTCACTATGAGTCAGAATTGACTCATCATCAATGGGTAATAGGGCTGCTTTAATGGTTTTTGAAAAAAGTAGGGACAATGTTGTATCCATCATGATATCCCCAGCAAGCTCAAGACATTTGCGGTCTAGAAGTGTTTCAATAGTAGTCATTGAAATGTTTTACTAAATAAAGAATTTCCTATCTCTAAATTTGGTTTTCCATGTTCAAAGAAGCCATGTACACAGTAAAGAATAAAGTCAAATATAAAGATAAAAAAATGGAAATTAAGTCCTTTCTACTCCACACTCACTCTCCCTCAGTCCACATCTCAAAAGCAACCATTATTATCAGCTTCCAATTCAGAAGTGTGTGTGTGTGTGTGTGTGTGTGTGTGCGCACAGCCTTCCCTATTATACAAATGAGAATGTACAATTACCTGAGCTCAACTTGCTTTCTTCATTTAGTAGAATCTATTTCATAGTTCCCATACTAGTATACAGAAACCCATATCTGTCTTTTTAATACTTGCATAGAGATATACTTTATAAATGCACTATAATTTATTCATACAGATTCTATTGTCAGAAATTTAAGGTTTTTCTTGTTCGTTGCTATTATTGACATTATTGTATTATGCCACAAAGAACTGTCAATCTGATAGGTAAAAACTGGCATTTCACTATAGCATTCAACTTGCATTTCTAAAATTATAAGTGAAGTTGTACACCTTTTCCTATGATTAAATATTTTATATATTTTCCCCCCTAGAAATTGCCTATCAAAGTTCTTTTACCATTTTTCTACTAGGATGCCAATCTTACTGATTTTAAATGTGCTTTTTTATGCATTAAGGACATTTGTCCTCTGTGTATAACGTTTTATAAATATTTTGGTTTATCTTTTTACTCAGGGTATTTTATTTTTACATAAATAGTAACTTTACTCATTGAATTTTTTTTATCTTTTCAGTTATAGCTTTTAGATTTTGTACTTAGCTTCAACAAGTTTTCCACACTCTAAGAAATTCTTCTATAATATTTTTTCTAGTATAGAAGATTTTTCTAATCAATGCAAAACAGTTTCTCAATATTAGTTACCCTATGTCATCTCATATTTCACTCATATCTTCATTTGAAAGAAAAAAGTAAGAAGAAAGGAAATATGAAAATAATTTCCTTGTGACCTTATACCAATCAGTGTGTAAACTGTCCCACACATTTAAGTGATTTTCTAAAAACTAGAAGCTTTGCAGCAATGCCAACGTTCATTTCCCTGAACTAGTCCATGTCTGATAAGCCACATTTAATAAGCCTAAAGTCTACCAGGATTTTATTTCAGGAACTGAAGAAATCTATGCCTAAAAGAGTAGTTTTTCAATCTAAAGCTGAGTCCTTTTAAATTTCAAAATATGGCAGCATTATGAAGAGTATGACTTGATGTTTCACTATTAAATTTTTTATTTCCCTAGTGAGAACATTATAATGTTGTTGTTGTTGTTATGTGCCATTGAGTTGGACCCAATTGATAGCAACCCCTCCTTGGGTTTCCAAGGCAGTATCACTATGGAAGTAGATTGCCCAATCTTCCTTCCAAGGAGTGGCTGGTGGGTTTGAACCACTAGCCTTCTGGTCAGTAGTCAAATGTCTTAGGCACTACACCATGAGAACTCCCAGAACACTATAATAGGGGTATCAAAGCAGAATATCAAACATGAATGAAATGACACTTCAAAAATTAGTGGATATTACGAGTATAGTTAGAACACTATCCACAGAAGGATACGCTTGCAATGTTTAAAAAAGCACACCTTCAGCAGACAGAAATATATATGAAATAGTAAAGACAAAACAATCTTTTCTTTAGCAATATTATATTCTAAGGAATTATATGTCTATCACGTACAAGTGTGCACATACTATTGCTGGACTGATAATGTAAATCAATATAATCCAACACATTTTTGCATGCACATATTAAAAATTAAATTCCCTCTATAAATGCAGAGTTAAATTAATTTTTAATTCATGTCACTGAAATTAGGTTGAAATTATAAACATAAAAAACAATTAATTAAACAATGTATTCTTTGAATTTTACTAGCTCAGTATAAAGTTTACCCTACTCAAATAATATAAAAGAAAATTTTCCATAGTTAATTTTCACTCTTTAATATGAGTCTAATTAATGCAGAACACTTAATATTTTAAATTAATAACATTGTTTGGTAAACGTAAGTAAATTTTAAATTACATTATAATTTTATTTATTAATAATAGTTTTATTATAATTATTTATATCATTAATACATGAAGCTATTATAACTATTAATCAATGTACAGTAATATTCACAGTACTTTAGTTTCCACATCTTTAAAATTAGACTTTTTTTTTATTATATGAAATTTGTAACAGTTTGGTAACAGAAAGACTTGCTCCGAAATAAAATTTTTCTATTAAAATCTCAATACTAAGACTCATCAGTTGTTTCCTTGATATGAAATGCAGGATATAAAATTTAGGTAGATCTGAGAATTTAGAAATATTACTATATCATGACAGGCAATAGTAGTTAAATAGAAACAATATTATGTCAGTACAAATTATTAGCAGTGAAAAACAAAACAAAACTCACTGCCACTGAGTCATTTCCAACTAACAACAACCCCCACTGGATTTCTAACATTGTAAATGTTCATGGAAGTGGACTGTCTCATTTTTTTTCTGCAGAGCGGCTGGTGGGTTCAAACCAGTGACCTTTTGGTTAGCAGCCAAATTCCTTAACTACCACCAGAGCTCCTTTAGCAATGAAATGTTGTTGTTGTTATTATTTGCCATCGAGTTCACGGACTCATAATGACCCCCTCCTTGGGTTTCCGAGGCAGTACCACTAGATTGTCCAATCAATTGATCAATTTGTTCTTTGTT